CACCACGCCGTTTGGTCGGCCGAGGAGCCAAGGAGGTCTGCGAACGAGTTCGGCGGGTAAACGCTCTGGCGTCCCAAAGGCTGGGGCGCTGGCGCGTCTATCGAACAAGCATCAGCAACACCGTCAGAAACTGTCGCTCCGCGCGGATTTCTTGGATCGGCGCTGGGCACCCCTGGTGGCGCCTCGGGCCTCGGGCGCCGCCCCTGGCGCGCTTCGCGTACCAGGGAGGGAGGTCCAGCGGACCGTCGAACGTCCACGTTTGTGCCGCGCGTGCTCCTTCCTCTGGTCCGTGCAGCGGGCTTCGGGGCCGACCAGGCGAATTGGCGTACAGTCCACCCGCATAGTGAGGATGGGCAACCTTCCCAAGGGTACCCCTGCATCCCTACCTCCTTGGTCCATCCTTCGCCACTTTCGTTGGCAGCGCCCCGCTCGAAAAGCTTCGAAATGGGCGTCCAAGGCCCTTGCATCCTTATCGCGCATCCTTATCTTACGCGGGATGACTGTAGACGTCGAGCCCCTCCCAGGTGCGGCCGGCTCTTCTGCGGCCGCTGTGCCCCGAGGCGGCCCGGCGGCGGCGCCTGCTGCGCTGCCGGCTCCCCGCCGCCAGGGCAGCGGCAGTGCGGTGCGTGCTGGGTGGCCGTACCTGGGGCCCCGGCCGGCCCCTCGCCGCAGGCCGTCGCGGAGGGTGGCGAAGGGGCCGCCCTGGCGGAGAGGGTCGGCCAGCTGGAGCGCCGCCTCGAGGAGGTCGAGGTGGCGTCGGCGAGGAAGGACGCGGATGCGTACCGGGCGAGCTGCGCCCTCATGCTGACGACGGTGTCACTGCTTGTGCTTTCCGCCCTTGCTGCCAGGTGTGGCCCGCCGGCAGCCACGGCCGTGGCGCTCGCCTGGGCGTTGAGCTGTCACTGGGCGTGGCTGCCCTGGCGCGGCGGCAAGGCGCTCTGGATCACCCTCCTCGTCCTCTGGAAGCAGAGGCAGAGCAAGCGGGAGGCCGCGCACCTCTGCGGCGAGGACGCCGAGAAGCTGCTGCGCTGGCGTTACCGCATGATGGCGCACCTGGCGGCGTGCGGCATGCGTGAGCTCGGCGGGGTGTGGCCCAAGGTCGGCCAGTACCTGAGCACGATGGGCGATCGGATGCCCGACGAGGTCATCTCGGAGCTGTCGAAGCTGCGCGACGCCATGCCGGTCGCTCCTTTCGACGAGGCCGCGAAGACCATCCGGGAGGATCTCGGCAGGGATGCTCTTGATATCTTCCAGGCGTTCGATGAACTGCCCATCGCGAGCGCTTCCATCGCTCAGGTGCACAGGGCCGTCTTGAAGGATGGCCGTCCCGTCGCAGTTAAGGTGCAGCACCGACATGCCGCGAGTCGCATTCCCAAAGATTTGTTCTGCATGCGAGTAATCGCACATGTCGTCTGGATTCTGACCTGGGGAGACGTAGACGCGATGCCCATCGTAAATGAGTGGTTGGGCGCAGTGATCGAAGAGTTGGACTTCTGCAAGGAGGCCAGCAGCACGATCAAAGCTCGCACCACGTTGATGGCTGCATCGGTGAAGGTGGTCATTCCAGAAGTCTATTCGATGTTCTGTTCTAGGCGTGTGATGGTGATGGAGTTTGTGGAGGGCGTGCAGGTCTGTGCTGGCGACTCTGAACTGACGCCAGAGGAGAAGGTGTCCGTCATGGACGACCTCGTGCAGGCCTACGCCGTGGGAATGTTCGTGACCGGCCATTTCAATGCAGACCCGCATGCAGGCAACTTGCTGGTCACGCGGAGGGGCCCGGGCGCGGAGCCGCGCTGTGTGCTGCTCGACTGGGGACTCGCGAAGCAGCTTGCAGACGACCAGAGGATCGCGCTGTGCGAGCTGATGGTGGGGACCGGCATGAAGGACACTTGCGGCATAGTCCAGGCGTTCGCTGGGCTCGGCTTCAAGTGGTCGGCCACCGCCGGCGATCCGGAGCCGCAGTTCCTGATGGCGCTCCTCCGGCACATCAGCCTCATCGAGAACCGCTCGAGGTCGCTGGAGATCCACAAGAAGCTGGAGGGCGCGCTGGAGAAGTCGCAGGAGACGGGAGATCAGCTGAACAGGGCCATCGACGGCTACACCGGCGATTTCTTCTTCGTCATGCGCGTGGCCACTCTGATCAAGGGCCTGTGCGCGATCCTCGACATCCGCGCCCAGTTCCTGGACTTCACCGAGCGCGCTCCACTGCTCGCAAAGCGGCTACTCGCACACGCCGAAAAGCACATGCCTGCCTCGATGTCTTGTATCGTGAATCCCCCGTGGCGGATCCAGACCATCAGCGCGCAGTTACTTTGCGAGTAGTGGAGCGCGCCTGGCTAGGACCGCTTCGTGCAGACGGGCCGCGACGCGCTGCGCGGCCCCCGGCCCCTGCCCCCGCTGCCAGACCCCCCGGCGACGAGTGCCTGGGAGGAGCGCCTGCGCGGCACCATCGACGGGGCTATCGCGGAGGGCAGCGCCGTCGGCGTTCAGGTGGCCGTGG